TCAGTTTTTACTAGCTTGAAGCTCTATGTGAATGTTCATACTGTTTATTATTCAATGCTCAGTTGCCAGACATCCCCCAAGAATGTAAACCTCCTCCTAAAATTTAATTTTGTAGGATTCCATGAAAAGCCAATTCAAAATGCAGAAAGCACAGGGACATACAGTTTGAAATCAGCCAGTGTATTTGTGCAGTAGGTTAAATGCCAGTTGGAGCATAATTAAAAGTAGCCAATAAAAAAAAAGGTGATAAAATTTGATTATGTAGTTTCACTCATCGCTGGTTTGTTCTCTAAAATATAACATATAATTACCATTTGGCTGCTTTTCTGTAAGGAGTACACTCTAGAATATGTTAATCAAGGCTGGCAGTGTGTGGGGTTTACAGTTTCTTAGAAGCTGTGGGAATCTTACAGGTCTGCTCCTCCCAATACAGACACTTGGGGTGGCCTTTTTGATTCATTTGTCATAAGATCCCTTTCATGTTAAACCATTACTAACAGTACAGGTTTTCAAATGTTGCCTAAATAACTTGATTTCCCTTCCGCATGTATGACAGCTTCTATGGTCGTAAATATAAATGCGTGTGTGTTTGTGTATCTTAAAGTGAGTTACTATTTGAGAAAATCCCTTTACGGATGAATTTTCCTCGGGATCTCTACTTTCTGTTCTGCCAGTTTAATCTGTGCTATTGCAAACTTTCCCCCCATTCAGATTTTACTGACTGACTTGTTCGTTTTAACAATAAAGGGCTAGTGGATTTGTAGCATTTGAACCCATCATCAGTTTTCATTGCAAAGCCTGCACCAAATACATAAATTGTGGTTACTTCCAGCAATGTTTATTTTATGCCTTGTTTTGTTTTGTTTTTGCCAGACATGTAAAACACAATATTAGGAAACATTTGTGCTGACAATATTAGCGCACACGTGTGGATAGTCACATGTTCTTCCCATGTGAGAAGGCTCTTCACAGCCGCTCTGCTCAAGCTGGGTCCAACCCTTCAGTATTTTTCTAAGACCCTGATGTGAAGTAAATAGAGTCTATTGTGAGTAACCCTCTCCAGTTGATTATAACCCTATTCCTCGGTTCCTTGTCCCCCCTTTCTTCTGTGCTTTATTATTATTATTATTATTATTATTATTATTATTGTGGCAAAATAGACATACAATTTATTATTTTAGCCATTTTAAAGTATATAATTTAGTGGCATTAAGTACACTCACAGTGTTGCAAGATCATCGGCACTATCCGTCTTATATTCTGTGATATGATTCTGAACGTTTAGTGTGAAGCTCAAAAATTCATTGGAAACAAGTGTAGAGAAATGACATTGCAGAATGATGGAGAAAATCCGCAGCAGGAGGAAGAGGAGTAATACTTTTTCTTAAAGATTGAGATGCAACTCTTTTCCTTTTTCCTGCCTCCAAGATGCTTTCTCTGAGCAGAATTTAGCCCTGGTGCATGCATAGTCCCAGATAGTTCCACCCCCAACTCCTCAAAGACAGGGAAGCTCGGTCCCTGAACTTCAGAAGCATTTTTGATCGTAGCGCTTGGTGCACATTGGGGTGTTAATGCCGAGGGCCACTTACCTATGAAATTGTCATGTAGTGACTACATTTAAACCTTACAGATACTTTTTTGTTTTTTTTTAACCCTCACCTGAGGATACTTTCACATTTATCTTCAGACAGAGTGGGAGGGAGAGAGGGAGGAAGAGAAAGAGAGAGAAACGTAGATGTGAGAGAGACACATTGAGTGGTCACCACCCACATGACCCCAACCAGGGCCGGGGACATACTGCAACTGAGGTACGTGCCCTTATCAGGAACCGAACCCAGGACTCTCTGGTCCTCAGGCTGATGGTTGAACCGCTGAGCCAAACCAGCCAGGGCTTTACAGATACTTTCTAGTGATGCTACATACTGGTTTCCCTTGTATCCCTGACTATCACCAGCATTCATAGAGAAATTCATATAATGCTATATAGGCATCTATTTTATAGATGAATGTTAGGAGCTATAATATCCTTCAAACTCTGAATTAACTTCTCCCTATATAAAAATTTTTATATCATAGAAAAATCATCTTGTAGGAAGGATTTGTACAACATAATAAACTTTAAGGAAATTATTAAGAATCGAGAACAGATTTATATCACTTACCAACTAGATTGCAAGCATCTATTTCCAGCTTCTTATTTTTACCAAGATATGCTTGATACGTTCTCAAAAATCTCTGCGGACCCAGTTCAGGTGGAAAGCCCACCTCACCTGTGTGTGTTCCATAGGCAGCCGAGGTGAACTTCATGTCTATAAAGACATCCATTGTATATTGATTTTTGTTTTGTTTAGACTTCCAGCATTGAATTGTGAAGTCTCGTGATGAGGTTATCAGATTCACTTATTTCCAGGAATTCTTTGGAAATGTGAGTGCTTACCAGCTGGTCAGATCATTGGTAGTTCGTTTTTTAACAAATAGGAAATGTCAAGAATTGTGAGAAAGAAAGACTGTGAAGCTGGCATGTGGTCTTCTCTTTAACAAACATGTTATGATATAGGAATGGTCCACAACTTCTTAGCCCCAGGCCTTTTGTATCATGTTCTCATTAACGCCTGCAGATTTTACTGGGCAGAGAGGAGGGCCTGGAACAAAGAGCTGTATATCTGTTACTCATGCAGCTCTTTGGGGGCAGGTGTGAGAACTTGAACCCAGGACCCTGCTTTTACCTGGCCGAGGAATCCCTGAGTGTTCTCAGCATGACTGAGTTGGGCACAGTGCTGTACCAAAGAGAGGAAAAGTAAGGTTGGTGACCAGTAATCCATGTGGTTCTTACGTTCACCAGATAAATGCAGGTGTAAGCGGGGGTCGGGGGCATGTTTGACAGAAGAGAATGGGGTTTCCATTCAATCACATGTTATTCCTGCCACCCATCGATGCAAGTAAAATAGCTCTACCAGTAACCCTTGGACCAGGCATTCAAAGTCTAAAGCCTGGTGAGTTTGGGATTATCCATGGAGAATACTACACACCGTTAGATAGCTGTGAATACCTTCTGGATTTCAATGATGAGGAATTATGGGAGCATAAATTGGTATCTGATTTTTAAAAAGATGCTTTGTTGCTGGGCACTGAAGCACGTTTGATGGCTCCTCGGTCGTGCTGCGGCAGGTTGATGGGCATGAGCATTGTTGTCCTCGTCGGGCTCTGGCTCCGGCAGTCAGCGGCTCTTCAGGGTTACTAATTGATTCTTAAGACGCTCTGCTCTTCTCGGAGGGAGGGGAAGCTAGAAAAGCAGTACCTGGAGATGACCATGTCTTTAAAACTTTCTTCTTCCTGTGTTTGATCTGTGAGGTGGAGTTGGATCTCTTTTACTGGTGGGTCATTAGGAGTCCACTGGGTAGTGAAGAGAAACCAAGGCATATGATTTTAAGCTTTTAGGCTAGAAATTGGGTTCTTATGTATCATATTCCCTTTCCTTATAGGTTCAGTGTATAGAACATACATGTGCAGTGTTGATTTTAGCAGACATTGATTGAGTGCCAGGTGCTTTGCTAGGTGATAGGAATAGAAAGGTGAATAAATAGCTCAGAAGTTAATCAGGGAGACAGACTCACAGCTATTTAACTATATAGCATATAGTAGAATGAATAACTTTTCCTTTTTAAAAAATATGTTTGTATTGATTTTTTTTTTTTTTTTTTTTTTTTTTAGAGAGAGAGGTAGAAGCATCAGTGTGAGAGAGAAACACTGATCGGCTGCCTCCTGCATGCCCCCCATCCAGGACCGAGCCCACAACCCAGGCATGTGCCCTGACTGGGAATCGAACTGGGGCCTCTCAGTACATAGAATGACACTCCACTGAGCCACACTGGCTGGGCTAGTAACATTTCTTGATTTGTTTATTCATTCATTTTAACAAAATTGGTTGGTCTTTAAGCATTGTAGATACAGGGATTAGTAAAATATGGCCTTAACCTTCAATACATGTGTAGTCTAGATGAGAGTCTGTGTTATAGAAACCTAGAGAAGAAAGCTGTAAATTCGACCATGTTCGTGGAGGAGAGGCACAGGGCAGGGTTTAATGGCCACAAAGAGGGCATGGGATCATGAGAAACTTACCTCCACACACAACCTGCACACAAATATTTATAGCAGCTTTATCCATAATTGCAAAACCTTGGTCAACCAAGATGTCCTTCAGTAGGTGAATGCATAAATTGACTGTGGTCTATCCAGAGGATGGAATATTATTCAGTGATAAAAAGAAATGAGTTATCAAGCCATGAAAAGATATAAAGGAAGCTTAAATGTACATTGCTTGGTGAAATGCTAATCTGAAAAATCTCCATACAATACTTTGTGATTCAAACTATGTGACATTCTAAAAAAGGCAAAACTATAGACACAGTAAAAAGATCAGTGGTTAAGGAGGAGGGTGAGAAAGGTTGAATGGGTAGAGCACAATAGACTTTTAGGATGATGATACTGTTGTGGTGGATACACGGTATTATATACATTTGTCTAGAACTATAGACACTATACATAGAACTGTAGAAAGAGTGGATCCTAATGTAAACAGTGGACTTTGAGTAATAGAAATCTATCAATATCGGCTTAATAAGTATAGCAAATATATCATAATAATGCAGCAGTCTTCAACCTTTTCATCTTATGGCACACATAAACTAATTACTAAAATTCTGCGGCACACCAAAAAAGTATTATTTTTTGTCGATCTATAATTCACACCAGACAGCTGTTGTGGTGGCTGTTGTCATTTTTTTTATTTGGCAGTCTAAGGGAAAAGAGGTCAGTGCCCCTAACTAAATCGTCAGGTATTACGTGTTTTAGAAATTCTTGCAGCACACCGGTTGAAAATCACTGCGCTAATGCAAGGTGCTAATAACAGGGACACTGTGTGTGTGGGAGGGAGAGGCATCTGGGAACTCAGTACGGCTGCCTGTCTCAGAGGGTGTAACTCCTGTTGTTTCTCTTCCCAGCAAAGAGCCCCTGGGAAGGTGTTGCTGGATGCGGTTTGCAACCACCTCAACCTCGTAGAAGGCGACTATTTTGGCCTCGAGTTTCCTGACCACAAAAAGATCATGGTAGGAGATGTCATATTGATGTTGCTATTTTATTATCTCTTTAACTTGGGAGAAGGGAGTCATTGGGATCTTCCCTTGACCATGCAGAAATATACAGAGTAAAAAACCCGGAAAGCACCTTTAATCTTTTTCTGAAAGTAACGTGTGCACAGCATTAGCAAATTCAAAGAGAATACACAACGAAGACTGTTTCCCTCACCCTTTCCCACATCTCTCCCTCCAGGACCACCATTTCCAGTTTCTTGTGTATCCTTCTGATCAAAGCCTGTGTATACATATACATAAATACCTATTTCTGAAATACACTAATGTGTGATAACAGTGTCTTTCATGCACACACACTCACACTCCTATACTTTTCATACCTCCCCTTCATTAATATATCACGGAGACCTTTCCTTTGCAGGGCATAGAATTCATTTCCTTTTTTATGGTTTCATGCCTTTCCAGTGAATGCATATGCCAGACTTTACGACCCCAGTTGTAAATGGTGGGATACTTAGGTTGTTTCCAATATTTTACTGTTACAAATGATGCTGCAGTGAACATACTGATACAGTTTATGTTTGCACTCATGGCCAGGGATTTCAGGAGTCCAGATCCAAAGGCATGGGTTTGCCTAACCCAAGGGTTCCACCATTTCAAAGTTTGCTAAATATAGGGTGGGGCAAAAGTGCATTTACAGTTGTGAGCACACACAACCGTTTATTCTTGTATTATTACTTATAAATTATTGTATTATTTTCTGTAAAAACAACCTCAGAGAGACTACTTCCATGGAGAGGGAAAGACAGGAGTGGGATCTGGGCGTCAGTGGAGGTGTCCAGTGGGCAGTACCCATAGGCCTATCTGCTGGAGCACCGGACAGAGATCTGAGCTGAAATTCAAGAATCATACAGTTACTTTAAATAGTAAGTGAAGCCCTGAAACTAGATGAGAGTGTAGAAAGTTTCAAGAAGGCAAGAGTGAAACAGTAGTGTCTAAGGGATGGACAGACAAGGATGGACCCTCAAAGGAGGTTCAGATAGAGAGGAGAAAAACCAGGAGAGGGAACTCAAAGTGAGGGGAGACAGCATGGCAAGAAAGGGGGGACAGACGGAAGAGAGGTAAGTGATGCATTAATCTGTCATGTACCTAGAAATGGGTGCAAATTGTGTGTTCTCAGCTTATTCCTACCTACAAATTCTTTGTCATTTTCCAGTGCTTACGTTAAATCTAAGCCTCTCTGACTCCCAGTCTTTTTTCTGATGTGGCGAATGATCGCAGAGGGGCCAAAGCTAGCTCCATGTTCATTCATTCATCGAAGAATTATTTTGTGCTTACACTGTGTCAGTCTGCATACTTCATCCTCTAGACGACATGTGATACAAAGTGACAGCAAGAAGTAGTTATGGTTTCCATTCATTAGAACTGCACAACTTGGGAATACAGATGAGGAAACAAATAACTACAATGCAGTGTAGTAAGTTCTGTGGAACATTGTTTCATAAACTTATTTTATGTTAAAATAATGGTTCTCAAAACCTTTGAAGATCTGGTATCTCATTATTTCTGATGATCCTGCCTGAATTACTACAAGGTCCCACTGGCATTTTTGGCTCTAGTTTTGCCCCGTTCCGATCCAGCGGGAGTTGCCTTGCTAAACTGTACATTGGTAGTGGAGAGGGTACTGAAACTCTGAGAATTGCTCCATATCTGGGTCAACCAACTAGCTAATGGCAGAGCTGGGATTCTAGCTGTGTTCCTCTGACCCCAAGTTCAGTGCCTTTTGTGTTAACTGTGGGTGCTTCTCTTTGCTAGAATTTACAAACCTGTTAATCTCCCTGGGTACCTCCTGGACTGACTTTTTCCATTTTTTCAGGGTTGATTTTTATGATTTCATTGCTTCCTTATAGTACTGTTTAGGGATATGTTCAACTGCCCAATTCAGAAAACCCAATAATGATGACATAAAGAAATAGTGTTTGTTTGTCTCACATAATACAAATAAAAGTATTCACATGAGTGCTTACCACGTGCCAGACTGTTCCAGCTCCTATGGGTACAACAGTGCACATGGCTCACATTCTAAAGCATGTACCATCAAACTCTCTGTAAAGGGCCAGCTAATACCTACTGTATGGAGGCTTTGCAAGCCAAAGGGTCCCTGTTGCACCTATTCATATCTGCCCATGTAGTGCAGAAGCAGCCTCTGATAATAGACAATGAATGGATGTGACTTTTTTTCAACAAAACTTTATTTGCAATACAGAAAGCCATAGCTTGTCAACACCTGCTCTGGAAAGGAATAAACTCTGTGCAAGGCATTGTATTAGGTTTACTTACAGTATTTTATTGATTCCACATAGGCCCATGCTAGCCACCTTTCTTAAAGAGGTTAACTCATGTTCACAAAGGTATACAGCTAGGAAATGATAGAGCTGGGATTCTAGTCCAAATCTCACTGCAAGCCCATGCTCTCAGTCACCTTTCTATCCTTACCATACATCTATATTTTGCTCCCCGTCAATGGCAAAATTCCAGCCTAATAGCTAATTTCATAACATTTTAAAACTAGGTTGCTGTGACAAAATTAAACCGTGATGTTAGGTTGGGAGGTGTAAGACACTGCAGAAGGGTACACGAAGGGCTTCTGGGGTCCTAGCCATGTTCTGTTTCCTCACCTCAGTGCTGGTTCTATGGGTGCAATCAGTTAGTAAAAATTCAGTGAGCTATGCACTTATAACATGTGCATTTTATATGTGTGTATGTGTAAACCTTTATCTATGTATATATAAAATAAACGTTTACCCCCAAAATGCAATGAAATAAAGCACAGAGTAGCAGAACTAATGACCAAAAGCACCCAGAAACTATCTGATGGGACCTGTTTTGGGAAAGCCAAGAATAAGTCTTGATTGGATGAACTGAGGAGCCAGTCACCTGGGAGAACAGTAAACTTTAGCTTGATGTTCACCTCTGCTCTCAGTAAAGCTGCTTAAAAATGTAAGATTTGTGTCGTATAGTTTTGGTCTTCTTCCCAGATTCTGTCGAAATGCTGGCTTTCTGTCTGGGTGGTCTTGCAGTGGTCGATGAATGCGGCTACAGTCACCTGCCAGCCTCAGGGCGCCGCCTTGCCTGTCAGCAACGCCGTGACGGGGCAGGTGGCAGGCCGCACAGAGCCTCACTTGGCTCACTTTGGGTGTGCTGGGGATTTAGTGGCCTCCCAGTGGGGTTTTTGAAAGGATCAAATATGATAATATCTATAGGCATGTGCCTGGGGCCTATTAAAGTGTTCAGAAAGGGTTAGTTATGGAAATTATTATCATTGTCATCATTTTTTTATTGTGTTCAAAAACAGATAACATAAAACTTACCATCTTTAAGTGCACAGCACAGGAGCATTAATGATATTCACATTACTTTGCAACAGATCGGGAACTGTTTTGTCTTGCAAACCTGCAGCTTCTTACCCATTAAGTAGCAGCTTCCTTTCTTCCTCCTCCCAGCCCCTGGCAGCCCCCATTCCACGTTCTGTTTCTATGAGTTTGGCTACTCTAGGAGCCTCATGTAAGTGGAATTGAGTAGCATTTGTCCTTTTGTGACTGGTTTATTTCACTTAGCATGATGTCCTCAAGGTTCATCCGCATTGTAGCATATGACAGAATCTCCTTCCTATTTAAGGCTGAATAATATTTCATTGTACAGTTAGACCTCATTTTGCTTATCCATTCATCTGTTGATGAACATTTAGGTTGCCCCCACCCCTCAGTTACTATGACCAATGCTGCAGTGGACGTGGGTGTGTCGTCAGTGTGATCGTCATTGTGTACTGTTGTGTATATTATGTTTGCCAAGCTTTATTGGAGAGTCTGCTCACATTTCAGCCAAAACAAGAGGAAGCATGGTTGACCTCATAATGCCCAAACATGGGCTGTCACAATGCTTTTTGCCCATTTATCTGTGCATCATACATGGGAAACCAGTTGTCCCCCACAGTCCTGGGCAGACAAGATTGTGGACCTTCGTCCCTAGGTGGTACGTTCAGGCAACTTGCATTCCAGCGTGACCTTCCACCTTTTTCTTATCATTTCTATTATGTAAGTAGCCACGTTAGAGCGTTCTTCATTATGAGGGTTTAAAAAACCTTAAGGGAAGCATGAGAGCTCTCAACAGGGTGTAAGATGTGTTTCTCAAGACTGGAAATACACTGGTGATAGTTAGTAAGGAATCAGTTATGCTCTGCCCTGAACGGGACTTGCTCAGGCCTATCCGTTGATAGCGCTGGTTGCTGCACGTACATGCGAGTTGGCCTGCTGTTCTGAGTCCAGGCGGCCATCCCCGTGAGATGGCCCCACAGGAGCAGAGAAGTCCTTTAATCTGTTTTCTAAAAAAATTGATTGGTCTTCCTGTGGTAGAAACACTATTGATTCTAGGAATTAAGACCCTGTACTTACTATGCCAGCTAATTGGTACCTAGAGTCTGAAGGCTGGTGCAAGGCCAGAAAGACATTAGGTTGCCACTGCGGTGAGGTCCGAGAGCTAACTGTCCTTGAGCTTCTGTGTGCCACGTCTCTACTGTAAACCTAAATGCATCTCATTTCTTCTTCCTATTAGGGATCAGCAAAAAGGGCCAGATAGTAAATATGTTCGTCTGTGCAGGCGATGCTGTCTCTATGGCAACTCCCCAGCTCTGCCACGCAGCACAAAAGCAGCCACAGACAATATGCAAACAAATGAACATGGTTGTGTTCTAATGCAACTTTACTTATGGGTGTGGGTGTTTGAATTTTTGTTTGTTTGTTTGTTTTTATCCTCACCCGAGGATATTTTTCCATTTTTTGTACAGATAGAGTGGGAGGGAGAGAGAGGAAGGGAGAGAGAGAGAGAGAAACATCGATGTGAAGGGACACATCGAGTGGCTGCCACCCGCACGACCAACCAGGGCCGGGGACAAACTGCAACCGAAGTACGTGCCCTTAGCGGGAACCGAACCCGGGTCTCTCCGGACCGCAGGCCGA